ACCTATAGGGGCAGGGTTCACACAATCTACTAGGTTCAAAACCAAATATGTGAATTGAACACGTGTCTTTTCTATTTTCAGTCTATGGTGAGATCACTGTTTTATTAAAGTGTTAACAATGGCATTTTGAAAAAAAAGGTTAGAATTTATTTTATCAGTCTAATATTCATACCGCACCTACCGTAGTATAATCCAATATATGTGCATATTGGGGCATACCATATCCTAAAGTTTCTATTTGTATCATGTTAACCAATGGTTAATAACCATGGTTTATTCAACTCAGTTTTCTGAATTTGTATGTAACAATGAACCTTTGAATGAATGAACCACCTTTAAAAACAACTCTTAATGAAGGAGGAACAATAAATTGATGGACACCAGGTTTTCAATCAGAAAGCATTCTTTTTATGGTTTCAGTTAGGTTTTCTCTAGTCCTGCCTGAGGCATAAAAGCAGCTGGGTGACTTTGGGCCAGCTCCCTCTCTCAGTCCTTGGAATGGCAAGCTACTTCTGAAAATCTTGCCGAGATGGCTGCAGGATCTGGTCCAGGCATTTACCAGGATTCAACACTGATTCAAAGGCAGCAAAATCCATCCATCAATCACAGGTTCCCTGGTGTACTATACCAGAACACAACTGGAAAAAAAAACAGCTTCTTACAAAAATGACAGTCTTATTGGTTCATCCCTGTCTGTCTCTTATCTAACAAGAAAACAACACCTACAACTTGTAACAGAGGAAGGAGAAAGTATACAAAGATGAAATGAAAAACAAGGTAGAACTTTTAGTAAGTACTATTCAAATGTAACACAGCAAATGAATTATTTTTCCCGAGAAGCATCAGCCAAGTTTGGAATGAAGAGAGATCATAAACAGAATATAAAGAACCACTACATAGTTATACTGGTCTCTGCATGTGGGTTCAGATTGTTCAGGACATATCCAGAGGATTACCATTTATCTGGCTGGTTGACTGATCTTTCTTCCCAGCTGCTGTGAAGATCAGTTGGTCTGATTAGATTGCAAAGACAGAAATTACCATAGCCTGAAATAAGAGGGTAGGAAAGCCCCATTGGATAAAGCTGCACTATGAACAGAAGTAGAGTCTACAATCAGGGATCTTCAAACTTGATAGCTTTAAGACTTGTGGACTTCAACTCCCAGAATTCCTTCTCCAGTCATGTTAGCTCCGGAATTCTGGGAGTTGAAGTCCACAAGTCTTAAACTTGCCAAGTTTGAAGACCCTTGGTCTACAATCTGATACAACTACAGGTTCTCACTGTATTTCAGATTGCTGATTCTGTGTCATTCTTAAAACCAACCAACAAAATATAAATGTGCCATAGATGTGTCATTTCCCGAGTTCTCTTCAAAATGATGCAATCCAGATGTAGAACTTTCAACATCCCCAGCTTGGAGAAGGCGGTCTTGTAGGTCAGCCATAGTGAGTGGACAAGGGGGCCCGTGACCCCTTCACAGCCAGCAGTCTTTTAGTTATAACCTACCTGATGTCCTTACAATCATAACTAAAGGCTAAAGAGATGAAAACTGTAGTCTGAAACACAGGAAGGGAAACAAGTTCATATTGTTGTTTGTTCTTTATGGCTAATTAACTAGAATTCATTGAGCAGCAGAACATCTTCTTGAGGGAATAGCCCTGAACATTATAGAAATGACTTCCTTGTTGACTTATCATTTTGAGACAATGGGCACACATTTTGTTTCATCACCTTTAAGCTCCCTCCTTGATTGTACCTATTTGATCCTGGTGTTTCCCCACTGGCTAGGGGGACAGTGGAACTGAGAAAGTCAGCATTGGGCAGGAGAAAATAAAGGGCAGCTCCCTTCTTCCTTGGACTCTTTTTAAGGTCCTAGAACAGCTTCTTGTATTTTTTCCCCCTAGCTATGATCAAGGATGCTTATAAGGGAAGAATACATGCTCTTAAGTATGAGCCCTCCCAGATAAACCAGACAGAAAACTGGACTAGATGAACTAATTCTACTTTATTATAAGGCTACATTGAAGAATCTTGCAAATCTAGAAGGACAAATTCCCTGCCCCTCACTTTTAACGGGCTGATCGATTAGGCCAGGTCCTTTCTTCCTCTGATCGTTAAGCTCTTAGGGACTCTCCTCCTTCTCTTGTCTGGTTGTTTCTTAGGCAGCATCTTTTTCCTTCTTCCCCCAAGATCAATCACACATTTGGTTATACTAGGTCAGTTCAGAAAGGAGAACTCTGGCCTGTCATCACATTATTATAGCAAAAAAACATATTTCAGTTATATATCCATCTGTTAAGTATTAATTTGTACCTCAGTATATGTATTGCCCAGGTTTTGATTGTCTAGTTTTGGGGAAACAGTCTGGAGAATTTCTCCAGATCAACCTCAGAGGAAGGGCAATGGTGAGAGAAATACAATCTTTACATTGGAATCTCTTAAAGCCAAAACATCAACCTTATTTGCCATGTTATAAATACAACCAAGGAAGTCAGAAATAAAGAAAACTAAAAACAAAACAAAGCCAACCGCTACATCAGTCTTCCATTTTTTCAGAGACAGTGAGTTCGGCTGGAGAACAGAAAGGCTTAACTTGAGTTGGTCTCCATTAATGGTGAAAAGATGTGGCAAGTTCCTCATTTCAAAATTTCAGAATTTTGACTTGGGAAATTCCATGTGTGTTAGCTCTTATCCAAGATTTGTTTGTACTGGGTTTCCAAAAATAATGCTTGGGCTTTGCTTGAATCATGATGCCGTTACCAAACCAGCTGTCTCAAGGCAGCACCATTTGAGGTAGTGCTCTGCGTTCAATCATTTCCAACCAGTTAATTTTTGCCTGAGAGTAAGAGTCATCATGATCCAACACCAGCCAACATGGAATTAGCTTCTGTTGCTGAATTACCGAAAGGTCCATTCTCCATGAGTGGTGATCCTAGGATCCAAGATATAACTGAGCAGAAGAATTTGCGGGAACGACTTGCAACATGGAATTAGTTCAGCAAAAGCAAAACAATTCCCGGTTGTTTTTTCCCTTACAAAGTGCTGTACAGTATATGGCAGTGAGGAAGATCCATTTAGCCCTAGAATTTCTACAAGTCCCCAACAGGAGGAGAGAATAATTGAAATAAAACCATTTCCTACCATTCCCAACAGGGGGCAGCAAATAGTATCCTTAAAAAAAAACAGATTAAAAAAGCACACAAATCATTTTTTATAGGAGGAAGCATGCTTCCCCTCCCCTGCCATCCAAAACTAAATTCTACAGCTTGAAAAGTGTTACAAGAGCTCTCTCATTTGATACTTTTTCATTCTGGTTTTTGGCTTTAGCCTATCAAAGACGGGAAGACAATACGTCCACAGCAATGCTCTCCCTCCATCAACCCCTTTCTCTACCACTGAGGATTGATACAGCAGTGCTGCCGTGCTATGGAGCTGCAGACAAACTCATCAATCAACCTGGAGGAATATCAATCCAGACGCCGGCTTGAACTGGTGCCCAGAGCAACAAAGCAATCTTGAAGAAGAGCTTCTGCAGGACCCCCTGAGGGCAAACCTGATGCCTCCCCTCCTCAGCTGTTTTGATCTATGGCTCTCAAACAGGATGGCCCTGAGTGAAAGGAAACAAATAGTATAACAAAAATTCAATGTTGGGCAGCGAAAAGACACTCAGCCCAATGACCCCCCTGAGCTGTTGTGTGGTTTGGGTTTGAACTAGAATGTTTTGCGAACCTGGCCACTGACAGTTATAAAACATGGTTCTTAGCTTCATGAATCATACAGCACCATTTATGGTTTATTAACTCACAGTTAAAGAATGGTTTAGCACCTTATAGGAAGGTCCACAGCTTTCTTTCCCTTCCTAGATGCAATTTCAGGGCTCAATGCTGAGCTACTGAGCCTTGTACCTTGCATTTCGGACATTGGAAGAATCTTGCAAGTGGCAAAAATCATGGCTATAGTTTCTTTCTTCTCAAGGTGCTAGTACCAAATGTAAATCAATGGGTCACAAGCAAGGAACATTTTTCTCTTTGGTGGCCTTCCACCTTATAGACGAGCCTTTCAGGCAGCTAGTAATCTGGCATTTATTTTTTTGGTGGCAATTATTATTTTTTACAGCTCTGAGGCCCCAAAGAATTCACTTCTGAATTTGAATTGGGTCTAATCTATGCTGTTATTTTTGACAAGTCCAGGTAGTCTTCAACAGACGACCACAACTGAGCCTCAAATTTCTGCTATCGAAGGAAGACTGCTATCAAATGAGTTTTGCTCCGTTTTGCAACCTTTCTTGCCACAGTTGTTAAGCAAATAACTGCAATTGTTAAACTAGCAACACGGTTGTTAAGCGAATCTCGCTTCCCCATTGACTTTGCTTGTCAGCCAAGGTCACAAAAGGTGGAACATGGCAACCATCCTAAATATGAAGCAATTGCCAAGCATCTGAATTTTGATCACATGACCATGGGAATGCTACAACGGTCGTGTGTGAAAAACGGTCATACATCCCTTTTTTTTAGTGCCATTGTAATTTAAAACTGTCATTATACATAAATGGTTGTAAGTCAAGGACTACCTGCATCAAGAAAGGTGACAGAAGATACAACATGGTCAAGATGGCACAGAGAAAATTTCTTTGTACGAAAATGGATCCCAGCATGACCTAGAAGAAAAATTAAATATTTGCTACCACCAAGAGCAGCAGCTCATGTAGCAATAGGAGCCCCTCTTTGAAGCTCAGGCTATGGGAAGAAAGTGCTAACTTTTTCTTCCCAAAGGGCCCCCCGCCCTCCCTCACCTGGCTGTTTTTCATAAAACAGGATCCCCCTGTGTGGCAGTCTTTCAACTTGATCCATTCTCTTTGTGAAACCTGCTGGCTCAGGAGACTTAATTTAAAATATTTCTCGAAGTGCATGTCCGGGCCCTTCTCTATAAATAAAGAACACAGGTAGGTCCCCAGACAGAATTCTAGTGAGGATAATAGCTGATGAAATCTACTCTTTTCCCCAGAATGCCAGTGGCTCAAGAATCCTATTCAGTTTTATATCTGGGACAACCAAACTTATTTTACGTTCAGAATGAGAAATTAGCTCTTACTTCAGCAGTAAGAATCTGGAGGTGAACTAACAAAAACCAAGAAATTACACCAGCCCACTAGAACAGAAAGGCAGGGCATGTCAGAGGTCCCATCAATTAGGGATTATTATCTGATAGGACCACAAAACAGAGCCTTCTCTCTGGTGATCCCTTCTTTATGGAACATTATTCCCCAAAAGGTATGGGTGATCCCCAGCTTGCTGCTTTGTTAGCAGGCCTGAGGACCATGAATGGAAGATGGAGACAATCAAATGGCTGATTTGATTGTCTTGTTGCTGCCATGGGGCTGCGGTGGGTTTTGTTACATGGTGGATTTTTAAAACTTTTGTTAAGTCACTCGAAGTCATCTCTGTGTGAGTTGGACAGCTGTCTAAAGTTTTTTTACTAAATAAATAAAATTATAGCAGCAAACTTAATGAAGGCATGTTGACAAAGGTTACAACACACCAACATTTGAAATACAGAGGGGAAACCACTAAGCCAGGCAAGTCTGTGTTTTTTGAGAGCAGATCAAAGCAACTGGGAACATCAGGTTTCTTACTCCAATATTATGGGTTCTAGGTGACCACAAAACTTGCCCAGAATAATAGCCTACAAGAAGAGTTGCTGTGGTGTGTTCATGCAGCAAGAACTGATTGGCAGACTCGATGTGGGACAAGGCTCCCAGGTCTTTAAAGGAAAATACTAAATTTCCAATACTCCCCAGTATTACGGTGGGAGAAATATCAAATTTTCCTATATTATATGGCAAGGCCAAAGTTGGCATCTCACTGGAGAAAGCAGGATAATAAAATGGCCATGTTCCTTAAATGATGGGTTATTTAGTTTAGTGTCAAGTGATCCAATACCATTAATTAATCTTTGGAGGGAAACCCTAGAAAAGATCTCCCACCAACAAATAAATCAGTAATTTTGACAACTGAAAGAATTCTAAAGAGTATAAAAGCCCAAATCCAAAATTCCTGAGGAAAATGAGTCTCAGTTAAGGAGAAAGTGAAGGAGACCAATCAACAGTTCTGAGACCTCCATACCCTTAGAAGAAGAAGATAAACACCTTAGACTGAGGTGAGCAACTATAGCTCGTTTACAACATGTGGACTTCAATTCCCAGAATTCCTAAGCCAGCATGGCTGGCTCAGGATTTCTGTGAGTTGAAACCTACAAATTGTAAAAGGCCTTAGTTGCCCACCCCATCCCTGCCTTAGCCCCAAAATTCTACATTCACAGGAATTGCACAGGGAATGAGGAAAGAAGCCCAGAAGTCACCAGAAAGAAGCCCAACAGTCACCCCTGTTCAAGGACTCAGCCCTTCTTCTTGTCTCCAGGGGACAGGGGCTAATGTCGCTACATCAGCAGAAATATAGAAAGAAGCCAAGATGCTTCTAGGCCGTCAGTCCTCTCAATCCTTTGCCACAGGGACACGGACCCGATGCCAAGCACTGTTGAGTACTCCCAAAATGTTCCAGAGTGGTTCCACACGTTCAGGTTGTACATTGTAGCTGGTGTCCACAGCCTTGCAGACAATGTTCAACTCCTTGGTGCCAGGAGGCACAAAAGCATCTAGCTGCCAAAGCTTCCAAGCCCAAACTCGGCCAGGCAGCTGCTCCTCACCAGTTAGCGTTGCCTCTTGCCAGTTTTTCCCACCGTCCAGGGAGACATCTACACGGATCACCCTCTGGCCCCCACCACTCCAGGCATAGCCCTTCACCGTGAGCTCCCCAGGAGAGACAGGTGTCTTAGAAGATGGCTCAGTGATGGCAGACTGGATGGGCATCTCTTGAATGGCAGGTGCCTTGGAGAAATCCACGGTCTCCCAGGTTACGGAAGAAGAAAATCCTTTGTAATCCTTTTGCTGCCAGTGGTTCTTGCTTTCCTCTGGCCCCACTGTAATCCGAGCCAGCCATTTTACATTACGAGCCCCCACCACTCCCGGCACAATAACTCTCAGAGGGAATCCATGATCCCGAGGCAGCTCCTCCCCATTCATCTCATATGCCAAGAGGACGTCCCCATCCGGACTCATGGCTTTCTGAAAAGGGATGGAGGCTCCATATACAGTGCCACTATGATCCGTGTCCAGGCCCTCAAAGGAGACATGGCCCTCATCCCCTGGTTGATACCCAGCTTTCATTAGAACATCCCGGAGCCGGGCACCACCCCAACAGGCGTTGCTAATGGCCCCAACGCTCCACCCGAGCCGGTTGGTATTCTTGATGGCGTTTAACTCTGCCCGGCGATTGCCAGCACACTGTATGGTGGCGGTAACCTCGTATTTTGGAAAATTCTGTTTCAGCTCTTGCAAAGAGAAGAACAGGTTCTGACCAGAGGGACTTTGAATACACAGGCGATAGGCTTCAGGGTCCACAACTGGCACTGGGAGATGGTTGCGCTTGAAGAAGAGCTGGTTAGGGGTCAAAAAATATTCTGCCAGTAACTCTGGAGGAGGTTCTGCATTGAAAGGCTTGAGGGTATTGACTCGGAGGGCGGGGTGGCGTGGAGGATCGTTGGCATAAGGGTCATCTGGGCTTGGCAGAGGAGGCTCTTCTGGGCTCAGCTCTCCTATTTTATATTCCCAAAGGATCTCTCGGACATGATCTTGTTGGTGCATGGCATAGAGCGCCCAAAAGGGTTCCAAAGCCCCGCCTGCTGCCAGAAGAATCTTGCTTTTGCCCCCAGGGTGATGCTCTAAGAAATCGGTGACATCAAAAACTTCACTGCCATAAGTCACCCACACCCGATTCGCTTCGTTGTGATGGCGGGCCACTTCTTCTCGGGTGAAGTGAGGGAATGAGGCATTATGTGTGGCTGTTGGAGGCTCAGCCGTGGCTGCCTGCGAGAAAACCAAAAGAGGCAATCAGGAAAGGAACAGTACATGGAGATTTGGAGTTGGCACATTCCAGCGACTTTCTGCCTGCTCAGACTCCCCTAACCAAATTGTTCAGAGTGAAGAAGCTGCTTGGATGGACAGCTAAATGCCTCAAACCAACAAGGAAAGAAGTCCAGCTGCCATGACTCAATTTCTTCCAGATAATTCTGTCTGGATGACTAAAAATCTTCATCAACAGTATCCAAGAGATGTTTCTCTCAACTCAAGAGCCCTACCAGACATGGTTTGAAATGTCCCAGCCACAGTCCAAAAACAGGGGATGCCTACATGGGGGTGCAGTTTAAGCAGTTTTAAGCAGGAAAATGGCTGCCTGAGGCCTCAAGCTAAAAAAAGGAGGGAAGGAACAAATACTTGACTCCATCCATTCTTTGGCCCACAAAAAGCATAACAGCGACTGCACGTGGGACATATTTTTTGGGCCCCTTCACTAATGGGACCTTTCAGCCTTAAATAGTCTCCATTTTCTTAAACCACAAAGCATTTAGGAAGTCTCAACTGAAGCAGAGTTTCAACACCACCCTCCCCCAGCAGCCTCAAGCCTTCCATGTTTCATTCCTGGGTAACATACCGTGCCATCTTTCACTCCCTCACCTGCCAATGGAGTTTTCCATAAACCAAGATGCTAGACACACCCAGGCCTGCTCCCGCAGCTACCATCAGCCTGCGCCTCCTGCTGCCAGCATTATTCCAAGTGCTGTGGGCACAGAACGGAAGCCGCACCCAATAAGTGGGAAGGCAGTTCCTCCAAGTCATGTCTCTTAACCTACAAGGAAAAACAAAAACAAAATGGGCCAAATGCAATAATTTAAGGAGACATGTACACCCAGAAACACTCCACACACATTAAGCCTTTCTTAATAAAAGATCAGAGACGTATCATAATTCCCCAAAGAAATACGATATATCAATTATCTTAAGCGGTCTCTAAAAAGAGAGGGAGGAAAGAAAAGACATATTATGGAAAATAACCTAATAAGAAGCTAGAAGCTGTGTTTCTGAACATTAAGGACAAGGAACATGGACCAGCTGTTCAGTTGAACTGCTACCCAGTTTTCAGAAGTTCCTGGAACTAAACAATTGTGGCCCACAAAAGTAGCAGGCCAAATCAGATGGATGCTTGGTCCCTTCTAGCAGGGCTGTTTCTATGTTCTGAAGAGCTTCAGGTTACCATGGCAGAATCCTCAGCAGCCTGCCAAAACTATTTTACCTCTCAGTTCTTCATGGATGGTAATGACAAATGGTTCTCAAGTTGGGTTTTGCAAACAAATCATAGTTGAGTCCTTTCTGGTCCTAGAAAGCACATACAGTTATTCTACTCTGCCAGCAGCCATTAAAGAAAAGCTATCCCAGTGTCCTTTAAATGTGCTGGGTCACAATTACGATTCAACTTTTTGAATATGTTGAATCATGCTGCACATTTACAAGGCCTGTGATGCAACACAGAAAAGCAAACGCAAAGGAATCCATTACTGGAAGAAAGAGGGGAGGGAGAAAGCATTAAAGGAGGCTGCCAAGAAGCAGAGGGAACTCTTTTTCTGGTCTCCAAGCAACAAAACCTAAGAATCCCCCTAATCTACTTTCAAATAAATCTTCTTAAACAAAAGGGCGGTTTCCTATTTTCAGAGAGAATAGTGTGAACATGCGACCTAAAGGGCGAGTTGCCATATCTCTAATGCAAGAGTTTGTTCAGTTCCTTGGCTGGCCTTCTCTTGACTTGGCAGAGTTCCCCTTTGTTTTTGAGAGCAGCCTGGGTTCACCACATGGAGCAAGCTTCTGAAATGTTCAAAATAAAATCAACAGGAAAGCACCTTCTGGATTATTATTAGAAAAAGGAAAACCATTTTCCTGAAAGCAGAGGCAAGCAAACTTTTCGCAGTTGAATTGTTACTTCTCTTTTTTTTTAAAAAAAAAATGGGGCCTTTAAAGTCAGAATGAGTTTGGTCTCCAAGACTGCAATATAACCAGAGCACATGGATCAAATTTTTCAAGAAGCTTAACATGCCACTGCAGGGTCTATTTTAAGCAGCACATCATCAAAAAAATTTTAAATGAACCTCTTTTCTGCTACACTTTAATTGCTTGATCTTTGTAAAAGAGCCTACCCTTCTGAACATGACTCTTGCAATCAAGAGTAGTTGGAGTCAGATATCTGCTTTCCAGGAATCACAAACATTACTGATTAACTTTGGCTTCAGCTCAAGGTGAAATTGAAAGAGTAATAAAAAGGATCTCTAAGTTTGCATCCTTGGTCTGGAACTGTAGAGGCAGAAGCCCTACTAAAAGGGAAATAAAGCATTTATAGATAAGATTAGAGGCCTATATATATCAGGGCAAGGAGCCAAGGCAAACAGACTAAAATATTGTTATCTAGGTAAGTTGGGGTAAGGAGTCTGGATTTGTTTTTATTAAGTTGTAAAACTTTTATTAATAAACTGTAACAGCATCTGAGAGGGGAAAAAATGGATGGAGTTGGGACAGGTTTGAAAAGAGAACAGGAAGAAGTTGATAAACCAAGATAAGCTCTTGCAAGACTGCTGTTATTTAATCAAACTGATTTAATCTTGCCTGAGATTAAAATTCGGGTAATTTAGACTTTTCAAAACAGTATCAACAGTCTAAAAAGTAGACCTTTTATTACCTTTTTTTCAACCGTATAAGGCAGAGGTGTCAAACTCGCATTGTCACAGTGGCATCACATGACATATCGGGACTTTTCCCCCCCTTTGCTAAACCAGGTATGGGCGTGGCCAGCTTGTGACACATCTGGCCCGCAGGCCAGGAGTTTGACAGCCCTGCTATAAGGTAACAGTAATATAGAAACAAGTTCACTGTCTAAAAATAATTCTATAGGGAAAAGGTCAACAATGATATTCCAATATCTTATGAATGATCTTAATACAATGACATAATGAATAATGAGGTTATCTCATCATTCTTTTCTTTAGCTGAGCCCCTTCTAACTTCATCAAGACAGCATTAATAAAAAGCATCTCTGATAATAACTTTTAATTATTGCCACCAAGTCTAAGATTCCAGTTGACAAGGTGTCCTGAAAGAATTATAGGTAGCAGGAATTCTGAGTTTGGATGTATTGTTCAGAATTAAAAGTTTCCCTTCACTATAAATATGCTTTCAAATGAGTAACCCTTTTTTTCCATACCGGTATGTTTGTTGAAGGGTACAGAAACCATTTCCGCTGGATCTGGACAGCAACATCTTCCCCAAACCTATATGCAAAAGAGAGAATCAGCAAAAATTACAAAAAAAAAAAAATCAAACCCCCCCCCCCCCCACAAATGCCTACTATAGGCACTTTTGAAAAATCACATTCTTCTCTTACTTCTGACAAATACCTACATTGGTTTAGGCTCAGTAAGCTTTATAAGTCAAAATATGACTGGAGATTAGCACAGAAAATATTCAGACCTATTTTTAAACAGCTATTCCTAGAAAGCAGTTTGGAAAGCTAATTGTTACCAGCACATGCCAAGATGATAGATATGCCCATTAGATAGTCACTTTGCTAGTATGCTGTTGAATAAAAAAAATATAACCACTAAATTACAGGAAAAGGATGTTAGGTTTCTTTTTAACAGATACTTTAGTTCCTATAGTATCGACCCAACTGGTTCCATCTGGCAGGATTGGCAAGCTCCAGGTTCCATGGATGAAGCAATGGCACCTACTGAAAATACAAGTGTATTTTCTCTGCGGCCCCTGCCCTCTAGAATGAGGTTCCCCTCCGAAATTCAAGTGGCACCCACCCCACTGAGATTTTGAAGGGCCCTTAAAGACCTGGCTCTTGGTCCAGGCCTTTCAACATTACAATTGATACCCCTTTCTTCCTTTCTGTTTCTCTCTGCCACTGTATTCCTTTTGTCTTCTATTATTTTTGTTTTCTCTATTGTTTGTTTTAAAAAAATATTTTAACAACTGTATACCGCCCACAGCTGTTGGAAATTGGGCAGGTATATAAATGTAATTAAATAATTATGCAATTCATGAAGAATTCCAATCAGAGTAGGAAATAGCAGTCTCTTCCTCAATTTGTTTTAATAGCAGGAAATTTACAAAGTAGTTTATCACGTTTGTGTATTTGATAGGACGCTACAGTTCCTGTAAAAGCTGTAAATTTTTGCATAAAGGCAGGAAGGTTTGAGAATAAGATTCGGGGAAACTGTTCTTCATCTGATTTTGACTAAGCAAAGAGTATTTAGCCTAACTACTTACTGCTTTTTTTAATGCTCAGATATAACCCAGAGATTATATCACAGTGTTAAGTTTTTAAAAACAGTCCTGAGAGACATTCAGCTGCAGTTTCTGCCAACCCACAGTTGAAAAAAAAATAGACACCAACAGCTGTTGGGGGATAAGATAAGAGAGTATTACTTGCTCCAGCAGATGGAAAATTGGGAAACTGAAAGCAGAGCAGAAAACCTAGATAGGTAGACCTCCAAATAATAAGCGAAGAACTCTATTTTAATTGTGCAACATAGTCTACTTCTAATGATAAAGTATTTATTTATTTATTCAATTTATCCCAAATTAGTGGCTATGTCCAGTGAACCATCATAAAAACAGTTAACCAGTTAAAAGACAATATAAAAAAGAGAAAAATAAAATAAAATAAAGTACAAATAGAAATGAAGAGATAATTCAAAGGTGGCAACAAAACCAGCTGACAATTCACTCCAAACTGTGGGATCACATCACCCAGCGGCCTCATGAAGATATTAAATAAGAGGAGAGGTCATAATTCCCTTCTATCAGTGCCATTGTAACTTTGAATGATCACTAAACAAATAGTTGTGAGGACTACCCGTAACTATTGCCCAAGCCTAATCACACGTCTTCTCCCAGGCAGCCTTGACTATCCACGGATCGAACACAGAGGTGGCCAAACTGACAGCTGCGAGAACCCTGTCCTCTTTCTCAAGTTCAACAGGGTTGAACTCCTCCCAGATAACCATGTAAGACCCAGCCCTCTAACCTCCACTGGCCCTGCACCAAGGCTGAAGTTTAACCCAGAGCGAATCCAAGCAACTTTATCCACTAGATCAGGGGTGTCAAACTCGATTTCACTAAGGGCTGCATCGGGGTTGTGTTTGACCTCGGGAGGCCGGGGTGGGGGGCGTGACCAGCTTGTCATCACTCATGCCAGGGGTGCCTGAGGTGGCCTGAGTGCTCTGCCAGTGAAACCGGGTGTACAACCTCTGTTTTCAGCTGGGAAGGCCTCCTGCAACCCTCTGCGATTGAAAATGGATCTCGGGAGGAGCTCAGTTTTCATCCCAACCGAAAATGGAGATTGGGAGCCCGGTTTCACTGGCAGAGGCACTGCGGGTCAGTCCTTCACCATTTCCAGGGTGGTCTCACAGGCCAGATTCAGCCCACGGACCTTGAGTTGGACATCCCTACACGAGATAACCAGAGTATCCTTTATAGTATCTCTGGAGAAAAACCTCAGAATGACTACCTCCAAGAAGGATCTGGGTTACTGGAAACGGGGCTGCTGGCTTGCTATCTGCAGAGGCGATAAGGACAGTGAAATAATAGTTTTGGCATCCTTATTGCCACAGACCCTAATTACAGCTCTAGCTCCTGTTCTATCATCTTCGCTCTTTGTTATTTGCCAGTGGCATTCTACATTGTCTCTTAGAACTATTTAGTTATTCTGTATATACCCAGGAGAGTTCCAGGATCCATTATGTAGAGGCCACTATGGCCCAATCCGATCCAAAGCCACAGCTGCTCTCCCATTCCAGGCGGCTATCAAGGGTTCAGCTGGTTGAGGGAAGGCAAATTTGTGTCATCACAGCATCTTCATGTGATGTATTGCAACTTTTCCTCCCTTCGCTAAACCAGGCGTGGGCATGGCCAGCGCATAACACATCCGGCCTGCGGGCCGCAAGTTTGACACCCCTGAGCTGGACCATCTCACCTGCCTCTGTTGCCTTAGCAATCATCACACCTGAGCTCACTGATTCCACACAGCCATGTTAAAAACATTTTCAGCCGCCACTGTCACGCTCCTCTCCATTGTCATGCAGCCGAACACTGCTTGGTACACCACAACTGGTCCATGCGCTCAAGTTGTTCCACATACGTGGTGCACCCAATATGATTGTCCAATTGCTGGTTCTTGGGGATGATGGTCCTGTCACAGCAGCAGCCCAGACAAAGAGGTAAACCCCATAAATCCCAGGCACCAAAGGCAATCCTGCCCCAAGCTGCAACATAGCCAATAAGAAAAACAAGTTGTGCGGGCTCAACAGGAAGTAACATCCACTGAGCTCAATAGTTGAACCCAAATTCATGGAAACTCCACCATGTCTCAATCCAACTTTTCAAGCTGGTTCCAGTCCAAACCATCAACCCGCTACAACATGCCAAAACTAGCTAAGGTGTTTTTGGCAACCGCTCTACAAAACACCTGGCCTTGATGCCATCTTAAAAAACAAAAGGTAAACAGCATTTTGAAGTAACTTCTCCAAACAAATATATAGTCATTAATCCCCAGACAGCTAAGGAGTTATGAAAACTGGTGCCCAATATTTCCAGTGAGAAGTGTGATTTAGGAGCAAAAAACCAAAGCCACTAAACGAGCTGGAAAGATTTCAAGTCTAGGATGAAATCCAACACTCTCACCGTTGTTATTTCTGAAATGTTTGACTGGGATAGATTGCTTTTTAATGACATCTTTCAACTCTGAACAAGTACCACATTTTTTTCTGAAACCACTGACAGCTTAAATAGCTTGATAGTCACAGAGAAAAAAAGCAAGCGTTCCCTTTTCATCTTTATCTCATATTGTAAACAAGAAAGCTCATTTTCAAAATTCTGAACAGTCCTGGAGTATATTTTCTGATCTGACTTTCATACAGAATTTTTGTTCTTCTATGGATAGATCCATTTCTCCTGATGTGGCCAATTTAAGCTCAATGTAAATGAAAAGTACAGGTTTTGCTAAATGTCTATAGAGATTCTCAATCATCCAGGTCCTGGTTGTCCCAAAGTTGCTTTTTCAAAAGGCAACAAAAGGAGTTTGTTTTTTTCTTGAAGGTGAAAAACTTCTTGGATGAGAAGGAAAAACAAAGTACCGTTGCCTTTGAAAAAGCACCTTTAGTAGTTTTTGCTGTTAGGCATCATCTGAATTGTGGCATGTAATTTTTTGGTGGGGCTCAGTAAATCAATTGGATGACATGGGGATGGCTAGATTAGTTTATAATGCAAGGCATAGGCCTATCCTAGTTAATGTATATAATGGCCTTTGAACATATACATATTAATGGTACAACACTGCTAAGAATGTCTCTGTTGCATTATGCACAAATATACTAAATAACTGCACAGTTAATACACTTGAGCGATTTCATATATAAAGCTTTTTGAATTATAAATGAAATTTTATCTTTCATTTATGACTTTTAGCAAAATATTCTTAAGCAGAATATACCTGGCAATTAAACTCAGACCTCCAGGAAATAAATTTGGAGTTGCAGATCTGTACTCCGCCCTTGTTTCTAAGTAAAGTACAGGAAGATAACCTCTCCCATACTGCGAATAAAAGCAATCTTTGCAAGAGTAGTTTTATGTAAACATATGGATTTTGTGCACCAATATAACTTTTGCAGCCTCCAGTGTTTTGGAATTGTGTTAGCAAAACATAATTTAATATACCATATAGAGTATGTGGCCCTCGGGGTTAAGGAAGTTGACACAATTATTAATGCTTTACTACCCAGTCATATAATTATTTCACACTGTTCTTCTATCCTGTTTTCATCTACACAACTGTTACATTTTAGCAATTGTCCCATGACTTAAATTTAAGGATGCTGAAACAGCTCTATGTCAGATTATGGACAAAGAAATACGAAGAATAGGCATAAACTAGCAAAAGTTCAGCTAAAACTATGTGGATGGGACAAAATCCTTTCCCTACACTGTTTGGGTAGGTAGGTTTGCGACCTTCTGTCAAAAAAAGTCACTGGGGAAGCCAGATTCACTTAACAACTGTTAAGAAGGGTGGCAAGAAAGGTCATTAAAATAGGGCAAAACTCACTTAACAACTCTCTTGCTTAGGAACGGAAAGGGTTCAGTGGTGGTGAAGGACTACCTATATTTCCTAGGCTACCTTTGGTTCCTAAAGAAAAAGTGGGACAAAAACAAAACCCTCAATCATGGCTTTGGGCAGGCTGGGAACAACAGGGTGCCAAATGCAACTGGGGAGTCGCCAAGTTTGATGCCCTGAAGGGTGCAAATCAAAGTCGAATTAGTTAAATTGTGTGCAATCTACCAGCACAACTTGTGCAGGCTCCAACAACGTTCTAGCGTGGGTGTAAGTACACATTCTGGGGCGGTTTTTTTTTTTTTTTTGCAATAGCGCTAACGTGGCTCAAGAGCAAAACGGATGGTTTCCAAAAGCTAAACGTATTCGTTTACCCTTAAAAAAATAACCTGGAATACAATAGCTGTAGCGCTGCCCGCTTTTGGCAATGCAGCCCCACCAATCCGGATCAAAGCAAAAGACAGGCCTTTTGGAAAGAGCAGAAGGGGAAGGAAAACGGGGAGAGGGGCTTTCGTGGTTTAAGTCCCAAAAACCAGCCGACAGCACAACCAGGAGCCTGAGAGGGGTGTGGGGGTGAGGGGGTGAGGGGTGGCTGCCCTTCGGTTCGAGCGGTCCCCGAGTTCCGGGGAAGAACGGAGGACCCAAGGCCAGACCAAACCCACGTGTCCCTTGGCCTGGCCGGACCTTGGAAACGTCTCGGAAAGATAACTTGCCCCAAACTCCACTCGGGAAATCCGCTGCTCCGAAACGCCGCTGGGATTCCGAGCTCGATTCCTCCGCGGGCTCCTTTCTCTTCGGGCCGAACCCGGGACCTTCTCGAGACTCAGCGCCCGCCCGCGGTCCGAGGAAAGCGCGCTCTGGGCGGCGGCGATGATGATGACACGCCTTCGCCTTGGAGAGACGCGCAAGGAGAGGACCGCGTCTCACGACCTGGCGTCCCGCAAGCGCCTTGAGGTCAAACAGAGGACGGCTTCGGAAAGCCGGGGAGGCACCCCGCTCCGGGGTCGGTGGAAGCGCCGCTGCCGATAACCTTGCCGGCTCCCTCCGGAATGAGGCTCCGCGGCGACTCCCTCGCCGGTGCCGCTTTCCAGGATGCTCCGATTGGAGGTCGTGGTGCGCAGGTACCGCCACGTTGGCCCCGCCCACTCCCGCACCACTGGCGGGCTTGGCTCCCGCCGCTCCGTTTAGCTGGGAGGGCGTGGGGCTTCCTTATTCCTTTCCGAGGGCGCTGGAGTACAAATGCCAGAGTCGTCAGCCATCAGGGCTATTCGTGGGCGTGGAGAAGCCTGTCGTGTTTAGGAATACCTGCTGTGTTGTTAAATATCTAGAATAAAAACGTGAACCACTAAATACAGGTTGTCCTCGACTTCAGTTGCAGGGGTTCATTTAGTGACTGTTCAAAGTTACAGTGGGACTGAGAAAAGTGACTGGTCTTACGACCATTGCAACATCCCCCCTTGGTCGGATGCTTGGCAAGTGACTCATTTGTGACAGTGGCAGTCATGGGATCATCTTTGGAGACGTGACAGACAAGCAAAGTCAATGGGGAAGCTAAATTCACTTAACCACCATGTTAATAACATAACATCTACAATAATTCACTTAACAACCGTGGCAAGGAAGATCGTAAACTGGGGCAAAACTCGCTTGGCAATTGTCTCACTTAGCAACATAAATTTTGGACACAATTGTGATCGTAAGTCAAGGACTACCTGTACCGACTACTGTGTTTATCTATGTTCTGTCTTTTTTATTTTAATGAATAACTCAAGGAAGGAAAAATATCCTGAATACTCCTTCCTCTTCATATTTTCCCCACAACCACCGCCCTGTGATGTGCATTGAGAGAGACTGGCACATCCGGCTTTCTTACCTAAAGCAAGACTAAGATTGCAAAACTTCCGATTTATTATAATTAACTATGGTAATAACAAAATACAATCCTGCATCGATACTGATGTGTGTAGCTGTAATAGTCTAAAATAGAAGATGTAGTGGCTTGGGGAATGTATAAATGTTATGTCAGGAGGAAGTGCTTGGCCCGTCCTTTATAGGTAAAGCCAAAATGCAAATTAGGATTATTGATATGCTAAGGCAGGAGGAAATGTATAAGCCAAAGTCTGGTATTTGATGACTGGTATTTGTTAGGTTTATAACCTACCTTTTCCTCCAACAGTGTGAGGTTGTACACTTGAGCGCTATAATTAGTCTTCAACTTACAACCACAACTGAGCCCAAAATTTCTGCTGCCAGGCAAGATAGTTAAATGAGTTTTGCTCCCTTTTACGACCTCGCTTGCCAGTTGTTAAATGAATTGCTGCAGTTGTAAAATTAGTAACACAATGTTAAGTGCATCTGGCTTCCTCATTGATTTTGCTTGTCAGAAGATCCCCAAAAGTGATCACATGACCCCAGGAAACTGTAACGGTCATAAATGTGAACCAGTTGCTAAGTGTCTGAATTTTGATTAAATGACCACAAGGATGCTGCAACAGTCATGTGAAAAACAATCATTCATAAGTCACTTTTTTCAGTGCCATTGTAACTTCAGTCATTAAACAAATGGTTGCAAGCTGAGGTCTATCCGTACTATAACTATAGGTAATCTTTTACATACAACCACAATTGAGCCCGAAATGTCTGTTGTTAAGCAAGACATTTGTTGAGTTTTGCCCTATTTTACGATCTTGTCACAACTGTGAATCACCAGTTGTTAAATTAGTAACAAAATTGTGAAGTGAATCTGGCTTGTCGGAAGGTCAAAAAAAGGTGATCAAATGACCACAGAATATTGCAACCGTCATAAGTCAGAGCCAGTTGCCAAGGATCTGAATTTTGATCACATGACTATAGGGATACTGCAATGGTCCCAAGTGTGAAAAATGGTCATAAGTTACTTTTTTCAGCGCCGTTGTAACTTTGAATGGTCACTAAATGAACTGTTGTATGTCAAGGACTACCTGTACTGTACTGCATTGCACAACTAAACTTGAACGGAAGTCCTGCTGAATTGAATCCTCTAGGCCTTTGTGTAAACATAATAAAACTGAGCTCCAAGCAACTAATTCACACAAAGGGCCTCATGTAGTTAAAGGAAGAATTAGAAGTTTGTGAAGTTTTCACTTTCTCTCAACCCAGAGGATCAATATCAATCCTGGTTTACTTGTCTCTGTTAAATTTAGCGAAGACGACACTGGAAGCCAAACGATAGCACTCAACTAGTCTGTCCTCCTCTTTTGGAGGAGCAACATCTTTCAGTACACCAAGTAGTTAGATCTCAGAGTGGAGCTCCAGAAATACATACTGAAATCTTTTATAACACAACTAAAATACATGAACATGACTTAGTAGTAGACTGAGGATTCCTATGATGATTTTGCTTTGCTGTTCCATAATCAGCCTCTCCATTTATGAGCCGGTGGATAATAAAAATGACAGGATATAATTAAGATTGTAGCAATACAGGTTGTCCTCAACGTACGACCACAATTGAGCCCAACCTTTCTGTTGCTAAGTGAGACACTTAACATGCATTTTGCCCCATTTTATGACTTTTATGGCCACATTTGTTAAATGAACCACTGGAGCTGTTAAAAGTTAGTGACACTGTTGTAAAGTGAACCTGGCTTTCCCATTGACTTTGCTTGTCAGAAGATTGTAAAAGGTGATCACATGACCCCGAGATGCTGCAACGTGGCAACTGTAAAAAGACCATAGAAATATTGTCATAGAATCCTGACACAATGGTTGTTAAGTATGAAGCAGTTGCCAAGCATCTGAATTTTGATCACATGAACTATGGAGTTACTGCAATGGTCCTAAGTGTGAAAAACAGCCATAAGTCACTTTTTCTGGTGCCATTGGTCACTAAATGAAATGGTCACTAAATGAAATGTTGTAAGTTGAGGTCTACCTGTACATGCTCCTGCTAGACCATGAATGATGAATGAAGAGACTCATTTTCAAGATGCAGAAATAGCATTTCTTCATGTATCTTTTGAATTTAGTGGCACAAACTTTTTCCATTCTCATTTTAGTACAAACAAAATTATTAAGTGTGCATGAGAGAATATTGCCACCATTTATTCAGTATACCTCTGCCATGTTACGATGAATGAATGACAACTGAAGTATCATGGCTAACATTCTTGGACAATTTTAATTAATCCCAAAGAATGTACAGATCTTGACAGTTGTTACATGAACCACCAAAATAACTTTGAACTTAAAATGGCTCCAAAACGATTGAAACAGGGAATTTCAAATTTGAACGGTTTTACACACTTCTATTCTTGACTAATGCAAGTGTCTTTATTAAATTTATATTCAAGAATGTTAAGACAGTTAATTTTGGCGGGGGGGGGGGGGAATACAATTTTAAATTAAATTTTAAAAGGAAGCCCTAGAAGATACAACACTGTTTCTTAAGATACAACATTGTATTTGGACACAACTGATTATTCATTAGGTTGACACGCAGAATCAGGCAGTGAATGTCTGGAAATAGTGATACCTTTATTAAAAGGCCACATCTCTCCAGCTAATTCTAATACATCCCAAACCATCTATATTCATAGATTTTTTTAAAGGGCTGCCATACATAAAACAGGCAACAAACCTTGACATTGTGAAATAATGGCAAGCAGTTATCTCTTCAAATTTTGTAATTTCCCCAATAAAATTGGCAGAACGCGGGCAAGTCCCAATGCAGAAAGTCAATACCAGCTCTTAACAGGAAAGGGATTTTGCTATTCACCATCTTTAAACCCAATTATGGAATTTAAAGCATGGGAAAAGAATGTCATGTTAAGAGTATTCATTTGAAGCATGTTGCTGGGAACTACCTTTCCTTCTAGAAGCGTGTTGGTTCTTGAGTTTCACATATTTCCCATGTATCCCACTGAATTCTGTAGAATTTCAAAATTAAATGTATTTTGGATTCAGGTTTAATAGTGATTAATCAATTACATGAATATATACTTTCAATTTAATTGTGTCTTCCAAAATGATCAAAATGCTTAACCTGTTCATATTCCAGAAAGTCAGACAGGATACTTGACACAGTGATACTGTTGGAGGAAAAAAAAGGTGTATTTCCTCTGATTAAACCTATCCATGCACAGTCATTTTTTGTGTTTATTGTTGGTTGATTAATTATATAAATTCCAAATAAATAAAGAACTGGGGTAGCAGAAGAAAGTAAGTTTTGGTAGAGGTCTAAGAGAAAACAGAGATAAAAATATGTGCACTCTCCAATTTGTAGTAAGTTTCCATAGAACAAATCCATTTGGAGCAAACATGGAGCAGACACATTTGTTTAAAAACTTTTTCCTCAAATACTGCATTCCACTTTTCACCATAATCAGCCTTCAGTAATTCAATCGTATCTTGGTAATGACTAGAGGAAAGGAAGGATTAGAAGATGAAATGCTAAGGGAGTTTGAATCCAATGTATTACTCATCAGTGAATATCTTGATTAAAATGGGTTTAGGTTTGTTATAGTTATTTGCTCACCCTAAGGAACATCCATAATACCAAAAAAAAAAATTGCCCCCCCTCCCCATTATTTTTGGAAATCAGTACAGTATTCCAACTGAACTCTCAACTTCCCAAACTGACATTATTCAGCAGCGCTCCCTACAGGCCACTATGCAGAAATACTAAGTTTTGCTAATCTGCAGGTGTCTGTTTTTTATGGCCAGTCCTTGCTTTCTGTATGCAAATTTAAAATGTTGATAGGCCAAACTGAGTTAAGTGTACAAGGGTAAGGAAAAATGTGTTCCAGGTACAAGCAGAAGCTAACAAGCATTCATTATGGAATAATTTGTGTTGCAG